TGCGTACGGATGACAGCTGCGTATGACATAATTTATTTTCTGGTGCTTTCACTTCCTGACAGTTATAATCACTGTGTAACTGCCTCGAGGGTGCTTGACCATTTCAACACAATGTGGTGCGATCATCCCCCTTGTGCGGAGTGAGGGTCCTCCACCCCGCACAACATGATCTACTCGACCACCATTATGGTTACCGCCAAAAAAAAAAACCGGAGGTAAAAAAAAAAACGGTAACCTGGTTGCCGAGTTCACGAAGTGAATTGGCTTGTTTTACAACGTCGTTGCCAAGCGACGAAAACCCAATCCCGATGGCAAACACCGGGGGGTGCGGCTTGTTTTACAACGTCGTTGCCATGCGACGAAAACCCAACCCCGACGGCAAACACCGGGGGGGGGGGTTATCTTGTGTGGAATACTGTACGTCACGTCTCACCTCCACAGACCCGGCCAGCTGCTCCAAACCGCGGGCCAGGTCTTTCGCCAAAGGTTCCGCCGCGGCCACCCCGGCGGAAACCCCGACGGATGTCGCAGCAGCCCCGAGGCTCGCCACCGCCGACATCACGTTCCCCCATTTACCGGCCTTGACCTTATCCACGAAGCTCCTCATCGCCAACCCCTGTATTCGAGAGCAACCGTCGGCACGTCCCACGGTAAAAACCGGGGTTGGAGCTAGGTTTACGTTTGTGTGATGCGGAAGAGAGCCTGCGGAGAAGACCCCATCCCCTCCGACTGTGGTGATACCTCGAACGGTAGTCTATTCTTTGTTTGATGATGGTACTTTCTAAACGAGAGTGCACCGTTGCTGTGAGGGGCAGACACACTCGGATTGACTTCGCAACCACACGAAAATCCTACAGAACTGGGGAGGAGAAACAACGTCGAACGAGAGTCCCGAGGATTGACCTTTTTCGACGTGTGCACACCCCTGTTGCAAGAGCTAGGAATACACGGGTGTAGCGATAATGGTGTGCTCTGCTAACAGCCTTTCGAGGGCCTTGCCGGAGCCTTGAAATCCAACCATAGCGCAAAAGGCAATCAGAAACCAAAACGTGCCTGATCGTAGGTGGACTTCTTCCCCGGGTCGGACAAGACCTCGTAAGCCGCCGTGGCAGACTCGAAGATATCTCTGTTATTGATCCCGTCCTTCGTGTCCGGGTGAACTAGCATCGCAATCTTCCGGTAAGCGTTCTGGTGTGGACAAACGCGCGCACACGACAAGAGATAGGGAGAGCGAGCGAGAGAGAGAGAAGAAGCCCGCTGTGAGAAACAGACGCCCACTGTCAAGCCACAGAAGGTTATGGGAAGTCTCAGTGGACAACGCCATGCAGACGCACATGCCCCACAACAGTACACATGCAGCATCACGGAGGTATCTTGCATATCATACGTAAGGACGCTGTGGCCCACGCCACCGACAGCGGAAACTGACAGAGCTATACTCCAAAAGGCTAAAACAAATGTGGTGCGTAACGTCTACACGCAATTAGGTCCCGCACCTTGATCTCCGCGGGAGAGGCGCCGACCTTGAGACCAAGCACCGCGTAGTAGTCGACTTCGTCCGCCTCAGAGGCCACCACGTCCATTGCCGCCGCCGCTGGATCCTTCTTCTTGCCCCCCGAGCCACTTGCAGCTGCTCGTCCCCCGCCCAGCATCCCCGCGTCGTTGTTCATGCCCGCGGCGCCAGCTTCGACGGCCGACATCATCCGAACCCGCCGCTTTCGCTTGCCTACTTGCGGGCAAGGAAGTCACAGTGGCCATGGCGGCGGGGACGGGGCGTGCTCATGTTTTGCATGCCCTAGCGGTTAAACCATTGACCACGCGTCCTCGAGAGGACGGAGCATCGTTCCCGAAGGACCGATCGCCTACGGCCAATCGGTCCTTTCTACTTCGCCAGCGGTGGATAAAATATTACTCAAACTTTTACTCCATACTGCTTTAGTCCATCTTCTCTATCCTAGCCCATGGCGGGGGGGGACGTACTCTTATGTTTTGCATGCCTTGACGGTTAGACCATTGACCACGCGTCCTCGAGAGGACGGAGCATTGTTCCCACAGGACCGATCACCGATGGCCAATCGTTCCTTTCTACTTTGCCAAAGGTGGCTCAAAAATGTCTCCCCTAGTCTGCCTATCCTGACGATATCCCTTCCCGCCTTTTCAACCCGTAGTCGTTAGACCATTGACCACGCGTCCTCGAGAGGACGGAGCATTGTTCCCACAGGACCGATCACCGATGGCCAATCGTTCCTTTCTACTTTGCCAAAGGTGGCTCAAAAATGTCTCCCCTAGTCTGCCTATCCTGACGATATCCCTTCCCGCCTTTTC